GGGGGGGGGGGGGGGGGGGGGGGGGGGGGGGGGGGGGGGGGGGGGGGGGGGGGGGGGGGGGGGGGGGGGGGGGGGGAGGAATTTCAACCCAAACAACGACTTACAACTACAGAACCATGTATCATAGTAAGACAGAGGCGAGAGGGGACAAACTCTCAAGTACACAACAGCGAACGCCTCTACTACGGCGAGGAGCTCCCTGAAACGGTGGGCTCCAACGACCGAAATCGACCGAGACGCCCAGCACCCGGTACTCACCCCGCCGTACCACCTCCTCACCGCCCCATTCGGCTCAACGATGCCCTCCTCGGCCTCCTCTTCCTCCTCCTCCTCCTCCTCCTCCTCCTCTTCCTCCTGCTCGGCTGCTGCCACCATGTCCATGTTCTCTTGGTTGGGATCGTTTTCATTGAAATCCTTCAAGAGGCAGTGCGAGATGTAGGGGGGCGGGGGAAAGGGCGCCCGAATCATGGAGTGTTACGTTTCGTGTTTCATACGCCGTGGTGCTGGTAGAGAGAAACAAAAGGAGAGGAGGTAGACGGACAGACAGAGACGGAACATGGCTACCCAACTCCAAGCAACATTCCTAGCAAGTACCATCAGGCAGTCGCCGGTGCTTTGCCGGGAAGGGAAACAAAAAGCAAAGAAAACGTGCTCACGACCAGCACAGGAGAGACTCCTGGCCGTTCAGAACGTTCCACCCCTATCCCGACGACGGAAACGTACAACAGCCTGGCAGCGGCACGTCTAGATACCTTCCGAGGAATCACGCCGGGCGAACAATGCGGACGGGCGCTGCAGGACGACCTCTCCCTGCATGCGTGCGGTCAGTCTCTGACCCTTCCACACGCCTCTACAGCCACCAACTGTAGGCCTGGTTCCGACACAGAGGGCCCTAATCGCTGTCACGGGCTCGACCCGCTATAGTACGGTTGAGTACCCTCTTATTATGGCATAAGAGGGGGCTTCGACAAAAGAGGGCCAAGGCCTTCGTCACACCACCCTCTAATATCTTAGCCACGTCTGTACACAAAACAGACCACGACGACCAGCGCTAGCTTTTGGAGAAAAAAACTTGGGTCGCCGATCGAGCATGAGCCGTGTCCGAACACAGAACAAACCTAGACGCACTCCACATCCTCACTGTAAAGCTCTTACCACCCCCGAAACGCTCCTAGATAGCTTTCGTCGCAAAATCACGAGCGGTTGTAGATATATGTTCATCTTGCGACGGGTACTTCATGGGCCTGAATGACTCCATGGGACCCCTGTCCTCCCTCTCTCATATCTGCATTATTCCCGAGGAAAGGAGCTGAGACGACCTCAACACCAAGTAGGCCTCACCGACCTCCCCCCCCCTCACATACCTCCAAAAATTCTAGTGGTGTGTCAAAGCTTGCCACACGCGGCCAGCTTTAGTCCCTATCCCGCTTCCCGTGCCACGCACCCGCAACCTAATCCGCCACACACTTCTACCAACATATCCGCTCTTCACCCCCCATCCGTCAGTCAGAAGCCGCTGCACCCTCTTCCCCCCAACACCTCCACTTGAGCAGCAGCAAGCGAAATCACACAAAGTTAGCGCTGACTGATATTCATCCCACACACGACGACAACCATCCACCTCGACTTTCTGTCCACCCTCCGCAAAACTCACGTTGTATCCTAGCTCGCCCTGTTGCTCCGCCGGCCACTGGCCGTTCTCTCCGCCTTCCCCCTCCTCCCCCCTCTCCTCCATCCCGGGGAGGACCTCCTGGCCGTTCCCCCCCTGGTCGACCATATACACCGCGGCGACTGGCGGCTGCGGCTGCGGCGGAGAGCTGCCCCCGCTTCCTGCCTCCGCGTCGCCGTCATAAACGCCTCCTCCTCCTCCGCCGCCGTTGCCCTCCCCGTATTGGTGTTGGTGTTGTTGAGTTGCTTCTTCCTCCTCCTCCTCCTCCTCCTCCTCCTCCTCCTCCTCTTCCTCATCCTCCTCATCGACCCCGGCATCGGGGGGGTCGCCCCCTCCGTTCTCCGTGGCCACGTCGTCGAAATCCTCCCCGCCGCCTTCGTCTTCTTGCTCCAGCTGGTGGTCGTCGTCGTCTCCGCCGCCACCGCCACCTTGCCTTCCATCGTGGTGGTGGTTGTTCCCTGGTTGTTCAATGATGGCGACGTCGACGTTGTCAGCGTCAACGCCGCCGCCGTCGGCGTCGCTGCTGTTGTCGTCGCCTCCTCCGGGAACAGCAGCGGCGGCGGCGGCGGCGGCAGCAGGTTGCTGCTGCTGTTGTGGCTGTTCTTCTTCGTCCTCCTCCACACTTTCGTTGTCGTGGTCGTCGGAGTGGTCGTCCATGGCTCTCCTCGCTGCTCCACCTCACGCTTCCTGGTGCACGAGTCGTTACCTCTGACTCTTGGTTCTTGGGCAACGGCAGGCGCGCGGGGTGGGGGGGGGGGGGGGGGACACAACACACACAGACATTTGCAGAGCGGGGAAGAGAGAGAAAAGAGGACACAACACACACAGACAGACATTTGCAGAGCGGGGAAGAGAGATAAGAGTTAAAACTAACGGTCGTGAATATTACTTTCGGTGAATGTGAACGCTGAAGTCCTTCACACCAGTGACAGAGTCTTCGGCGCTACGATCAACACATGACATGGAAACTACATCAATAGAGGACGGAACATCATGTGGGGCAGCGACCAGCGTCCTGCTTCGGCCGTACTACACATCGAAGGCCGCCGCCGTCACAACAGCAGTGTCCTGCACAAATGTCCGCAAAAAAACAACTGGGTCCAAGGCATTTCATACGGATGCCCTTTTTAGGATAAGTTAAGCATCTCTGTGACCACGGGAATCGACCGCGTCAAGTGTTGGGACAGATGGAGGTACTGGTCAGAGAGATCGGAGTTGTTCATGTGAAGACAACAACCACAGCAAGCCATTCATCTTCCACTTCGTACTCGCGGCCACAGACCCAATCCCCTGAAATGCGGGTCCACCAACAGCAGGCCACAAATGTAACAGCCGTCTCGTATGAACCGCACTTCGGAGGTTTGGGGATCGGTTGCAGGGATGCACAGGTGCTCTATTTGAAACATGAGATATACCAAATTTATTATTTTGGGATCTACACTACACTTCGACACACAAATACACTTCGACACAAACATATGTTTTTTAACCAATAGGCCGACATTACTGATGTGCCAGCAAACACAGCTGCTCGGTGATGTCTTGAATGAAACAGCACATGCTTTGCGGCGATCGGAGGTCAGGACTATTCCAAAGCTGGAAGGCAGTTTCGGGGGATTATCTTGGGTGTAGAGTGGAACGGGCAACTCCACATGTTCCCCCATACACGACTTGGGAGATTCCGCGCAACACATGGCGTGCCCTGCTGCATTCTCAAGCTGCTGCAGCGGTCTGGAACTTTCCCGCACCATGGCAACCAAGCACCGGCCCTTGAGAAGGGCACATGCGAATGTTGTGAGAAACGCGTGCTGCGAGAAACCGCACAGTCTCGCCAGCGCACATCTTACAGCTCCACATCAGCAGCTCCTCTCAAAAGCTGGGGCACCAACGCCGTGGCTCTATTGTCAAAGCTTCACCGATATTGATGGACTCCGCACACAGCAGTCCCCTTTCACGGGCAGTCGACATGCAGGGCACTGCACGCCATCCTCAACGCAATAGGAAGAACAGCTACACAACGAGCAGCAGCGAACATGGCCGTACATGTGTACAAAAAACAAGTGGTGGATTCAGTTTCTTTCTCGTCGCTTGTTGCCAGGAAAACAAACACAAGCACGCGTCCCACCTGACGTGGACTAACACTCCACGCCATGGTAAGACCAACACCCTACGCTTGCAGAAAGGGCCTTAGACATATTCAACGCCATGGTCAATGGCACAGGGCACAGACTACTTACATCGAGGTGCGCGCACAGCACTGCTGCGTGTAGAAGAGAGAGATGCGGTGTATGCGGAGTAGGAAGAACATCTGAACTTCTCAGCGCGCGCAACATCTAGTCTAAGAAAAGAGGGGAAATTTGCATGATATGTCTTCCGTGTGTACGAAGACGCAAACTCCCGACCGTTTGTATCCTCTCGGGGCGGAACACCTCACCTCGATGGCAGAGCCCTGTTCCTCACAGAAGCAGCAATCCGGCTCTGCACGCCCCGCTCCTGCAGGATCCACTCCCTTGCGTCTGGCAAGGTTTGGCAAGCGGCTGAACGAAAGGGACCCTCTTCTCTCTCAGCGAGTTTTCGATGATTTTCGCGCGACTTTCAGGCGCGGCTTCGTTTTGGTACTTGAGAAAAAAAACAAGTGATTCACCTCCCACGTAGAACTCGTGCGAGGGAGATGGTACGCCCCAGAGCCCACACAACCTCTAGCGGGGCTTACCGCTGCTCAAGCTTGCTTCGTCTTGCCTGGCGCTCGATCGGCACCCCAAAACCGAGGGGGAGCCCGCAGAGGAAACAATAATAAGTTGTAGGTTTTGAACGCTGCGGATAGTTCCACGGCGCCCCTGTCGGCTCGAGCTCCGACACCCCGCAGTCCGTACAGCACCCTGCAGTGAACTGCTGCTGGCTGAGCTGTGTGTGCTATCATTCACCATCTCTCGCTTCATGGCCACGAAAAGCCACACACGCAGACTGAGGAAGAAAAACTAATCGCGATATCGCGTTCGTGCAACCCAAGTGAGAGCAGCAAAGGGCGGCGTATTTGTACGAAGAGTTTGCAGGGACCAACAGCAGGTCTGTGAATCATTACAAGACACACAAGACAGCCGCGGAAAAAAAACATCATCGCTCGATCAACTCTGACTTCGGGACGGAGGCCGCAGCCCACGGGAGCAGAAGGGTACATATACGTGAGCTCTTCTCCACTAAGACCTCTTCGAGTTGCAGCGCCACACTTGCTGCCTTACAACACCGAGCCGATCAAACAACATGCGTAGAACTCGTAGATCAAGCTTCGACACAGCAGCAGCCGGCGGTGACGGCGGAGGAGGTGGGCTGGGGTTCGACCAAAAGCGGCGGACGGAGCTCTTGGCCGAGGCGAGGCGGAAGCGGGTGGCCTGGGTGGAGGAGGCCAGGGGCATCGACGACGGCGTCGACGGCGCGAGGAAGAGGAGGGAGGATGAGGCGGCGGCGAGCGGCCGTAAGGCCGAAGGCGAGCTGGAAAGGGTGAGGCGCCAGCAGGAAAGAGTAAGAACAGTACATACATGCGCATATGCTATGGCGTAACGTCAACTAGATCATGAAGCTGCCTACGTACTCGTTGCTCTCGAATGGAGCTGCTTGCTTGTTATGGACATGTGTGTGTATGCGTGTCGTTTCCATACAACGATTTATTAGGCTACGACCGTGGTGCGGGTGTTCAACACACAGCGGTAGATTCCTCCGCATACATCAGCACAGAAGCAGTCGCGCACGGCAACCCTTGCTGAGTTCCCTGATTCTTTTTTACAGCATCACACACGACGATGGGCCATGAAGGATTGCATCCCACTGCCCTCAACTTGAACGAGCACAGAGACGCACCACCATCCGCCGACAGCAGGGGTAACTCGCCCCGCGAGGTTGAAGTGTACGCTGGTAGTCTAGAATTCTCCCTCTTGGAGCAGGGTGCGCACAGGAGAGTGCGGCATGTTCCGCCGTGTCGTCGTGCGGCGGCCGAAGTGCAGAAACAGCCAAAGGGCACTGCTCTCGATGTTGACGCCATGTCCATTGCACGAAAAAGAGTATCGCGATAGATGAGGAGTGGTTGTCGTCCCTCGCACTGACAATCTCCCCGATCTTCTCGCCTTGTCACGAGTTGTGCGTCAGTCGGTCGCACAGCTGTGACTGTTGCTCTTGTAAACCACAAACGAACGCCGTCGGCCTGCCTGTCGCCGAAAATCGTTGCTCACGGGATGGACGTCCAAGACTTGGCCGAAAACAATGACAGGAGAGGCATCTCTTGCGCCTTCACTATCAGAGACCTGTCAATAGTTGTATTTAGCTCTTGATGCAAAGCCTCGAAATATTCACCGGTCTCCCCACCTCAAAGCAGCAGCTGTTGACATTCCCCGGCAAGGTTCTCAGTTCTTGCGAGTGCGTGAGGGCGCTCTTGCGAAGCCTACAATGCTCTACCTCTATCCATAGACGATAGGAGCAGTCTTTCTGAAGTGAATGTTAATGCTGTGTCGTTGCACCGTCCGTTCGGACGACGTCCCAACCAATTTGAATGGTGAAACGTAGACCGTGCGCTGTCGATAGTGGTGATCATCACACCGAAGCGACTAAAATTTCATGATATCCCACCGGCGTCGAGTCCGAGTTACAGGGTCAATCATGTTTTCTTTTGTTGGCTCGGAACAAGCACCGCCCGAGTGACGAAAACCTGTTCCACCTGCGGGTGACGAAGATAGTTGGAGAAGTTATTGCACGCACGCCGCCACCCGAAACATGATTGAAACCCATCACTCGAAACTATTCTGAGCGCCGCCGCTCCAACTTTCCCGCCGTCGCCATCGCCACTCCTCATTGGCCGAAACGAAACAGCTGTTCCCGTCTGCGGTAAAGTTTCACGACTTTCTCACCGGGCTGGCAGGGGACCGTGAGGAGACTCCGGCGGGAGACATGTCTGCCATACTGCAGCCCTTCATGATAGAGGTGCGGCCACAAACACGGCGCGTTTTTTTTGTTTTTCGCCTCGGCTAGTGTAAGTTTTTGGGGCGGGCTTCTGCCGCAGATAACAAACCCCTTTGCGCGACAATTTTTGTGTGTTTTGCCTACCGGTGCGTGTGTCTTGAGAGTCGTCTGGAAACCTTGTTGGGGCATCCGGCCGTCTGCGGAAGGAGGAGTGTGCCACATAGGAATGCTGGTAGTGGTTATTTTTCTCGATCGAAGTGTGCGCAGAAGCCTTGCGTGTCGGTCACAGGATACATCTCACATAGCGAGTAAGGTTCCGTCTGACAAGTTTCCAGCGGTGGCAGTTGAACTTCCCATGTGCCGCAACGGTACTAGGTTAGAGAAGCTTGGAAAACAACCGGGGCGGCAACAGCAGCAACAGCAACAGCAGCAGCATTTTCGAACCCGGGCATTCATCCACCAGCAACGTTCGTCTCCCTCCTCTACCCCTCCTACCCTCCCCCTTGATTCCGGTGCCCATATCATTCTGCCATCCCCCCCTCACGTTTTCAGCGATGTTCTTCTCCCTCATCTTCCTCTTCCCATTCCCACACTCTCTCTCCGTGCCCATATCACCCCCCCCCCCCCCCCCCCCCCCCCCCCCCCCCCCCCCCCCCC